ATATTATACATTAATTAATACGGTAAATAAAAATACAAAAATATTGCATCAGTTTGATCAGATAGGATCCTATACTTTAATTACTTCAACCCTTTTCATCATAAAACTTGTACAAACAAATGCTGTGAAGCACAGAAAATGTGTTATTTTTATTTAATTTAATAACTCAGAAAGTTTACACTGTGAAATGTGAAAAGAAACAAACTTTGTCATTTCTCTGACTGAATCCATCATTCATGTCTGACCTGCTCTGACCTGCCTCTGTGTTGTTTGTTCACACCCATAGTTTTCTAATCCAGCTCTAATCTGTGTGACTCTGCAGGCTGTCTGTTGTAGAGCCTGTTAAACCAGTGGAAGAATGTAAATAAACATATTAAAACTGTAAATYTGATTGTTTTTTTCTGGAACTGTGGCACGTGTCATACCCGTAAGGCTCGCTCTGCTTCTGTTCCAGGTATTGATTTGGAGAATATTGTCTACTACAAAGACGACACTCACTACTTTGTCATGACTGCCAAGAAGAAGAGCCTGCTGGAGAAGGGTGTCATTAAACAGGTGAGAACACGTTTGTTACAATGAATTACAATAAAAAGTGTTTTTATGGACAGGAGCTGCAGCTCTGGTCTTTAAAAGAAAAACACATAAACACAACAACAGTGCATGTGTTTGTGTGTACACAGAAACAGTCTTCTTCTCATGGCTAACACAGGAAGTCACTCTGTGTCACACAAAGTTGTGAGTTTCTCAGAGTTTGTCTGTCTCTGCAGGACTACAGCGACGCAGAGCAGCTGCTGGCTCCTGCAAACGTGGATCACGTGGCTTTGTGTCTTTATGCTCACGACGCGGCGTACTTCTCCACGGGGGGCAAACTGCCTGACCTGCAGTTCGCCAAGACCGGCGGGGGCCAGTCGGACGTGGCCATGTTCGACTTCACCTGCATGCAGCGCGCCGAGAACGCCTCTCTGGTCCGGGAGAGGAGGGGCAGGAAGCTGCTGCTGGCTCTGGTTGGAGACTGTCTGGTGGAGGTAAACACAAGTGTAGCTAACCCTGAGGCCTTCCTAAACAAAGACGGCCTTGTTACTCAGTCATCATGTGAATCCAGTCATTTTCATGAGATTTCTCACTTCATAACAAAACATCTCATATTAAGACCCTTATGCCAACTGATCACTTTGTTTTAGTCTAAACTACTAATAAAAGTTATATATTTGATCATTTTCTTAGTGTTAAAGTATGAAGACAGCTAAAATAGACAACTTCAATCAAATTATCATAAGTTGTCTAAAACAGTCTAGTGTTACAGAGTATTTACCTTTCTAATAAGTCTGCAGTTCTGTCAGCCTGACTGGACTCAGTAATATTTAGCAGATGTTAGCTATTGGCTACATCAGGGGTGGAGCCAGCATCTGATTGGCCATCTTAGGCACCGCCCCCAAATGATTGACAAGTGGCATGCTGTTTGTCCTTTAATGAGAAACTTTAATTGCTAGCTGGGGAACATCACAGGGATTGCTCTTGGCTACCAGCTCACCATGTTTCAGCTCATTATATCAAAAATGAACTTTTTCAGCCATCTTGGATTGTGTGTTTGAAATCATATTTAGTAAAAGATTGTGTCTCAGTTATTACAGTAGTCATAATGCTTTGTGAAACTAGCAGTAGCATTAGTTGGTACTAACAATGAGCATGTTTTTTTCTATCATTCTTTGCTACGATCACACAACTGTTCAGCTTCATGTTTCCTGAAGCAGCTGAGTTAGAGCCATTTGAATCAGCTGTGGAGGCCATCTTGAACTTAGAAATGAGGCCTCGTGTCTACCATGTGGTGTCCTGAACCTACTGATGACCATATGTGAGTTCAGAGGGGAACTATTTCTAGAATAATTTATAAAATCCTCCTCAGCTCATGAGTGTGCCTCAGTCTGGTCGTCCACAGGTTGATGCTTGATGATGAAGACGTCAGGCTTCAACTGTTCATGTGTTTAATTCTGAGTTTATCCTCTAATCTGGTGCTGGTGTGTGGTCCTGCTCTCTCTGCAGCCCTTCTGGCCTCTGGGGACGGGCATCGCTCGGGGCTTCTTTGCTGCCTTTGACGCAGCGTGGGTGGTGAGGAGCTGGGGTCTGAGTGTCCCACATCTGAAGGTCCTAGCTGAGAGGTTCGTTCATTTCACTGAACTTACACAAAAACACACTTTATAACAAAGATTTCAATAATCTAATATGAATGTTTATCATTACGGAAACAGTGTTCTAACAACTCATCAGTGTTGTATAAAGTACCACACAGTGATACTTGAGTAAAAGTACAAGTATCATACCAAAAACTGACTTTGGTAAAAGTTAAAGTGTCCTTTATGAATATTACTTAGTAAAAGTGTTAAAGTATGTGATATTTGTTGTAGTTAAGTA